AATCGACTGTTTAAGTCGGCTCTACACTAATTTCGTAATTCATTTCCATACTTAACGCCCGGAGACTCAGGTTCGTCATCAAACAAACGGAACAAAGACCGTCTCCCTACAGGCTATGCGATCTTTACGTACCATTTTATAAAGAAAATTATGTCAAAGAGGATTTGTAGTTTTCAATAGAAATGTTAATTCTTATTTGATATATTATTACAACTAATCTAGAATGAATAGCTTGCGAAATAACAAAACCATGAAGAACCGTCGTATCCACCGCGGAGCGACCACGAATAAATTAAATGGTTTCGCGATTGTAAAACGAGTCCCGTGGATCAGAACGTCGAGGCCGTACCTATTTACTTTATCCTTTACGGGCGACAGAAACTCGTAACGACTTAACGTTTCACGGAACTGAAACCTTAAGAAGAACTTGGACGGAACGGAGCAATAAATTTCGGCGGCGAACGAACGATTCCGTTTCGCGAAAACGAGAATACAACAAAATGGTTGGCGGAACTTGAGTAACAACGAGCGACTCGTGGAAAGTTCGCTGGAGGCATGAAGGTAAAACTACCGTTACGAGGCTCGCACTCCGGGGAAACTAGCTCGCAATATTTAATGACTCGATCCTTAGTTCGTCAAAGATAAGACGTCGGGAGTACGTCGTAATTTTCCGTTAAATCCCAGTATGAACGTGTCGTAACTACCCGAGTTCCCGTAGTGGGATAATTAATAGCTTAACCCTGCCACTGGTCTTCGTTCATTTGAAAACTATCGTAAAACTGTGATAAACCTTACGGTTTAAAAGTCTACAATATGTTACGCGCCATGATTTCTTCGTCTTACCGTAAGGACTTATCGCTCACTATACATTCTGAACTTTTCTCTTGACTGGGATGAATAGCTAAAGAATTGTGCAGAAAATTAGTTCATTTTGCGTTCGCTTATCGTCAGATATACGTTTCGGATTATAAGATAGAAGGGAACGAAGAAACATGGCAGGTGAGGGGCGGTGGGGAGTGGGTTAGCCGTGGTAGCAGATGTTGGAAAGTGGAGTAACGATGGGCATTCGATTCTCTGGCTCGCGAGAGCTTTTCGAGCAGTTTAATCGTACAGGCTCTCCTACAGAGGCTGGCAAGCGCACGGATGACTCTGCAAATATTGATCCCGGCAAAAATTGCTTCTCCAAGAGAGCATGTAATACGTTATTGGTGCCCGTTTGTTGGTTTCGAAAAGTACAACGCGAGCCACGGTTTCCCTGACGGGCGAAAGTGTATCCAAGCTTCCTGGACGACCTTGGAACCGATCCGGACCTTCGTTAAACTCGCATTAAACTACACCTTCGAGAGCTCGGCGAACTTTTCGTTAGTCGAGATAGCTTGAAACAGTCGTTTCGAACCGAGTGCCGAGAGCCTTCGGTCTGTCATTAAAGGGAAGTGAAACGATCAACCGGTAAGAGGATAGAAACAAATGAAAGTTTCACTTTCGTCTTCAAAAATATCCCGTGAACTCCTTACGAACTGAAATCTCGTACTGCCAAGTGAGTCGTTGTACAATTTACATTACTTTTTTTTACCTCCGCTGTACTTGAAGATAAGTTGAGGGGTAGAGAGGGAAAGGGTTAATTTATCACGAGACTCTTGAAGTTTTACCGGTCTAACAAAGGGCGACCGCAAGTAAAGTTTTCCCCGAGCAATGTTTCACCACCGCGGCAGGGCGGTGGGATAAGAAAATTCGAGTGGCTCGTCGTGTCCTCCTGTTGGACAAGATAGAGAGAGGCACCTCTATTTACGGGATCCTCCACTCTATTCTCCTCCCCTCGTGATGCTTCGAAGCTGTTCCCGAACACGAGAATCCCATTCTTCGGCCGTGAAACATTTTATTTTCCGGCTATTACCCTGCGTTAACCCGCGATAACAAAGTCGGCGGGAATCGAGTCTGCCACGCTCCGAGCAACGAAACAATCTTACGTCTGTTTGTTATAAACAAAGCCCCGGTAATCTAGATATTCGGGCGGAAAATTTGCTTAAACGAACGACCGCGATTTCTCGTCGTTTCGGCTGCAATCCAGATTCGAAATTAATACGCTTCTCCCTTCGTCGGCTTTGCCTCGCGAAAAAAAGTTCAAAAATAAAACTCTCAGAGAGTGTCTAATTAAAGTAAAAAATCGGAATACGGTCATAAAGCGGAAGAGAGCTTAACTTAAAACGATAAATGTAACGGAGCTAGATTGAGAGCGCGATTGAGTGTACAAAGGAACGAGTCAAAAGGAAACGAGATGTTAATAAATAAAATATTAACGGATTCGCCTTTGACCCGGGAGAAGCACGGTAGAGAGATGAAAAAAAAAAAAAGAGAAAGAAGAGAAAAACAACCGCCCTATAATTATCTTTCCACGCCTTTGCCTCTTGGTAGGCTCACGAATCAGCGCGATTCGATCAACCTAATAATTTCTTCCGTCTGAGTAAATCCGATCGAACTCGGAATCGCTGCGCGCGCTCGTTTATTAACGATTTCAAAGAAATATTCGTTGAAAAGATGAGAAATTTATATAAACGGGACAAGGTGGAAAACTGTTTTCCTGCATTGAAAAATAAAAAAATGTCGAGGTAATCTCTCTGAGCAAGACAATGGAAATGAATGTTTAAAGAAATTCCATCTGTTCTCTGAACGGAGAGGGGAAAAAAATAGACGAATAATCCCCAGAGACACGGTGCAATAATTTCTGCTCGTGCAATTTATCAAACGATGCCCGTAAATAATTCAAAGATTCAAGGAGCTCCCGTCTTATTCCTCCTTAGATGAAAAGAGAGGAAAGAGAAGGGAAATCGATGCAAGTGCGGAATTGTTTTCAAAGTCTTGGAAGAGTTATGGCTTGTATATTCACATCTACACCGATGCGTATGTAGCAAGTGTTTCTGAAATTGTGGTGGAACATGATTGGTAGATTGGAATGCAAAGCGCGTATCTCGTATCCGTCGTCGCATTTATCAGCACGCAGTTTGCATCATTCAATGAAGATAATTAAACCACTTTTCGTGACGTTTGAAATTTTTCAAAGAACAGAACCGTGTGAAAATGAGGCGAATGGTCTCAAGGGCGACGTTCGGATTTTAAACTTTCGGCCCGGCCCGAGCGAACTTTCCCCGGGCATTATGGCCGGGATTTATCGTTTCTGGAGTGTCGATTCGCGGCTACAAATAATTTATTGGCGGCCGTGACTGCTGTACAAACGCGTCGCCCGTGGCAGCCACCCCAGAACTCCCCCGGCCGCGATCACGGGTCCCAACCGGTGCTTTTCTTTAAATATTCATCGACCGCGCCTCGATTCTCGCGCCGATCTCTCTCGTGCAACTTTCGGCGGATCCTAAGTTCGTCGACTAACGAGCTCAAACTAGCCCGGTAAGTAGTCGTTTCAGTTAGCAAAAGGGAAAAATTAAGCCCGATAGGAGAGAATCTTCTCTCCCATCCCGGCGGGGGTAATTCAATTATCGCGGGCCGAATTTTATGACTATCAAACCGGTCAGCCGTGTCGCGTTCGAACTAAGCCGGGAAGAAACTGTTTGATTAGATAGGAAGTTTCGCTCTGTAATAATCATCGTTTTGTTTGTCGAAAAGGGATACTAGGGGACGAAAGTTAATTTGCTTTATGTAGCGAGCACGATGGCACGGATTAAGATTCGTATCAGAGAGAGATTTCAGTAGATCTTTCTCTCTCTCTCTCTCTCTCTCTCTACTAATCAGCTAATTAACTAAAAGAGAAACTATAGTTCTCATTATATTAACCCCGCATGACATGATATTTCGAAATTAGAATAATTCAAACTTCAAACGATGCATTCCTTTTTAAACTGATTATAAATTCAATTTGGTGGAATCAGAATCGACTCGCTGATGTTAAACGTTCTGAGGCAAAATCCTGTTTGCCCGTCACGCACAATTGACACAACTATGACAGAAGTTTGGCAACGAAATAAAATCAGGCGCGGGAAACATACACGTGAAATTAAATTGCAGTGAAATCTCGATGAACGAGTAGCCCGTTCCATGCATACTAAAGCTCTGATTCCCAGGTTCTTTGTTTCAAAAAACCAGCTCCATCGTTTCACGAACGGCTATAAAGATGGTCGCTCGTTCGCGTTTCCCAGCGAAGTTCCGTTTCATTGGCGACAAATCGTGATTCGATGTTCTTCGGTAAAGGCGAATTTACACGGTTCACTCTGGTTCAATAACACGGTTACAATCTTCTCTTTTCTTTATTGAATCGATTGCACCATCACATCGTTCAACTTTAGAATCGCATGGCGTTGCAAATATAATCTGAATTATCAGAGTCAGTCCAATCTAAAACCCATTCATAGCTACGTTTTTCATTCGTCGTTTACACAGATTGCGTTTGCCCACATTTTTCCTGAATAAAGAAAGCTTTACAACTTGCAGAAGAGAATGTGCGTACGTGTGTGTGTGTGTGTGTGTGTGTGTGTGTGTGACTGAGGTTTGTAATTTAATGGAACGTTCCTGAGATCGGACCTGTGTAAGTTTGCCTTAACTAGAAGTGAGCACGATCGTGCACGTGCGACATTCAGACGGAAATCTTGAACGCAGCGAAGGACGACGCAGGGAGAATACGAATACCCGGATTGACCCGGCGAATTCTTCTAATTTTATATTAAATCCGACCGGTTTACGTTTCAAGCCGTCGACTGTGAAAGCGGCTTGATTATTTCGAACGCGAAACAATCGGTCGTAATAGAAACGCGGGCAGGAATAAAAAGAAAAGGCGAGGGCCGGGCGAGAGGAGAGGGAAAGTACGGCGTTAAAGGCGGCAGCTACGTGACGGTACCCGGTGAATTCTTCTTTGTTTTCCGGGTGCTTGTCTTTTCAACGGAATGAACGAATCCTCTCTGCTCCAAGACTTTCTTTCTCTCCTTCTATCTGCCGAGATCTCTTTTTCGCTCGTACATCGCGGCAACGAACAAATTAGACTCGAAAAGAAATTATTCTTCTCTGCCGTATACACGGTTCTACACAGATGCAACGTTTATTTCGCAATCGTTCAGTTGAGTACAAATTGGAACAGTGAATATCGAACCTTCTAATCTTAAAGTACTGAATGTAATTTCTTTAAGAACGTTTTATAACTTGTATTTAAAGATTAAGTCCATGTTTCGTGGCCTCGTCTTCGAACTTCACTTTGTACTCGCCGGTAGGGTCGTACTTCTTCGCCAGTTTCTCCCATAATTGTGGCCGCTGGAAAAACCAGATCAGATCATTATACAGTCAAGAATCCTCATTCTGGAATAGCAAACGCTTAAAAACGAGGTGATCGTGCTTCATAATAATAATTAAGGCTACGGTAACGAAGCGGGGAGACAAAAGTGTCAACAAAGTGAATCGGTGCTTCGTAGGTTCAATTAAAAGTTGGCGAGAGAGTTAAATCGTTCGTTGGCGAGTTTGATAAACAAGAAGCGCCTCCCCCGACAGTCGAGGATATTTTCTTCAAAACTCTCTCGCCGTCCCTTTTTTCTCCGCTCCGCGTTGAAAAAAGCTTCCTTCGGATTTCCATTTCTGCCCGTGAAATTTCGAAACTCGGCTAAGAAGAGTTCGTAACTCGTCCACTTCCATCTCCGCCTCGTAAACTTCGTAATTCGCATTTACATCCCTTTGTACATCACTCGGGGAAATAGTAACAGTAAATTAATCTATAGATCCTCTGGTTACGTTCCATACACATTTCAACTAACTTCAGAGAATTCAATTCACTTCAATCCAGTAATTCAAAATGTTTTTTTTATCTTTACATCTTTACCTACATTTGAAATATACTGTGGCGAGCCAAGGTTTGAGACGTGAAAGTTGAACCAGTTTCGATCAATTCGTGATCGGTAAGTATAATACCCGTTTAATTATAGAGAAGTGAACGTACCTTGTTAATCAGGAACCGGACGACCTTCTCGGTGGCCTCTTTCTGCTTCTCACTGCATTTGCTGCAATCGGTCGCCAAAGCGTCGGGCAGGTTCTCTGAAATCAACGAGGAAATAATTTTGAATATCGTTACGCGCCTACAATATCTGCGCGCCGACGTTTTTTTCCCCTCTCTCTCTCTCTCTCTCTCTCTCTCTCTCTCGTTTGCTCTCGATCCGGTTCCGGGTCTATTTACGTTTCGTTGAACGAGGAAGTTCCTCTGATTCGAACTTGCCTCGTTCGTCTCGAGGTTGCGGCTCGCAGTTGCAGTTGCTAACGATAAAGGTCTGATAAGATGCATCACTTGCAGGAGAAAAGGTAATTGGCGAACTCTCGTAGTTAGCTACGTTCTTTTTCAACTCTCGCTTTTCGAGATAGATACCCACGGTTGCGGAGAAGTTCCAACGATAAGGAACTTCCGGGTAATCTGTTGACTGATGATAGGGTAATTAGGGAACGGAGATGTCGTATTCGATGTCGGAACAAGAAAGGAATGAGGGTAAAGGATAGTGAAATACGCTGTAAAATGAAGTGTGCAATTGAATCAGCGTCAAACTGCTTTAACCAATGTAAATGTTATAAATACAAAAAGGGCTCATGCATTGCAAATATTCCGTGAATCCGCAGAAATAGAAGACGGTAAACAATCTCCTCGTCGTTGTTGCCACGGGAAGGCGGAAAATATGATGGAGCGCTTTTAAATAGGTTACGCGAGCAACCTTATTTATACCGGTTTGAAGTAACTCTCGAGCGAGCTCTCGTTCCCACCTAATCAACAGCACCTTGGGGAAAACTTGGGGAGAGGTTAAGAAGGGAAGCGCGTCTTGGAAATGAGATCAAGAATTTTCCAAAGTGATCATGAACGTAGTGAACTTTTCGGACTGAATTTCAGCAAAACCGTGCTAATTGCAATCGGTACTTCAATCACGTCTGATTGGAGCAATATGACTCCCCTTAAATTCAATGGAAGGGATCATCGATTCCAAAATTCGATCAATGATGAAAATAATTTCTTCTGGCTATACTTGTTAGTTCTACCCTCCTCGAGTAGGAAATATAAGAGTGAATAATGGGTATCATAAAGGGTCGTTGAACCGACTGTCAGACGTTTACCCAGCTATAAGAGGGAAAGGAATTGCAGTTGTAAGGAGGCCTTTCGATGAACCTTGATCGAGGAGTCGAGCTAGGAAGAAAGGGGGCCATTATAATATTTTCCATATGGCGTCCTCGATGGCCGATCGTAGTCGAGTTCCTTCACCAGGCCAACTTCATAACCTACGTTATTCTTGCGAATATAAGGGAAAAGGACTGGTTCATTGTACGGCTTTTTTTCGCCGGATATCATTTCCACCGGCTGCGCTTGCCCATCGTTCCTGAATTTCCGAGACAAGAAACCTGTTACCATGATAAAACCAGCTCCGCGATTCGGGAGAATATAAAAAGAAACGGTTGAGGAAAATCTGTCTCGATCAATCGATACGAGTTGACGTTTCGTGTAACACGAGAGCTTAACTTGAAATACGTTCACCGATTATCCGTTCACGTCGTAACGTGTAAGTACTTGATCGCGAAATTTCTTTCATATGAACTCCACTTAGTCAAACTGATGTAAACTAGTTGGTGAAATTCATTAAATTAATCTGCGAACTTCTATTATTTGAATGAAGAGTAATGGATCTTCTATTATGTGAACGTCCTAGTTATGCGAGCTTACTTATCTGACGATTAGTTTGTATTAAGGACGGTCTACCGTACGGCAAACCAGAAGATACGATACTATGAATCCATGTAGTAAAAACGAGAAAGAAATTATTTAATGTCGTTTTTTGGTACTTCATGAACGAAGGCATTCTGTATTGGCAATGATCCACACAGGCAACGAAAATTATTCACTTTGAGATAAGACTTTCCCGCAGAAATTGATGGACAGCAAGATCAGAAGTAAACTCCTAATGAAGCTGTTACATAAATGCAAACACTTCAACCAGGTGGCAACCGTTTGAGCCTTTATCGGAGCATCGCAACCTGTTGGCTGTCGCAGTTTTTAATCCAAATACCTCTTGAAAGTACGCCAAAATTCGACGGAGATCACCCGATAGTGATATTATCTCGTTTGTCAATTTTCTTATCACTTCGACAAAAACCTGTGCACTGAGGAATGGATTCCAGGACATTGTTGGTCAAGTTTTCATATCTCTTTCTCATCTCGCATACAACCTTCAAGGAGACGTGACTGAAAACGTAAGAAACGCGAAATCCCGGAAGGACGTTTAACGACTTTTGAAAAAGTTTAACCAACGTGGTAAGCAGTGGCTCTCTCGGGGACTATTTTCAAATAAAATAAGAGAACGTGCTTGAAACCTGTTTCTTATACTACAAAGCAAATTTTATTATCAAAAACGATTCGCAAAGAGGATTTAACCAAGATTCAAAATGATACGATCCGAATAATAGATAAGATCGATCGTTATATTTTATAGAATAGCTCTTGCATGGAAATGAGATAACAAAAATCGTGAAGCAGCTAAAAGGTGGGTAACGCAATTCTCTCCGCGAAACTGAGATCGATCGCGATCGCGATTGAAGTTGTTGGCAAAAGCTGCGGTGTTGCAGTGCGCTCTTCCTTTTTCGGCCCAGTTCCTCGACTTTGACCACGGAACCCTTGTCGAACGTTTGACAGCGTTACACCGCGCGCAATCCGCAGAACTTTCCATCAACCACGTTCGACCAGCGACACGTTCGGCTGGTAAAGGAAGCCTACGAGGGGTACCGGAAGTGCAGCTGTGCACCGTACACGGCCGACGCTCGCGACCGATAGTGGAAAGAGAATATAGGAAACGAGGGACGAGAACGACAAGAAGAAATAGGTAGCGGCGGGCATTGCTTATTGGATTTCAGGGCCAGAGGTCCCCTAAGACCAAGTAACGGAGCACAGCGTTAAGGTGTACGTGATAAAACACAAGTCGCGTCTCGACTCGACGTGGGAAGGGCGGCTAGATTAAAGCCGAGATCTGTGGAATAGAAAAATACGACGGGATATTTGCCCCTGCTAGTTTCTTACTCCGATTTATTCCGCGACAAATACCGTCTTCCTCTATCCGTCTAGCGACTGTTTAATTTCAATGATAAAGATTCTTTTAATGTTGTATGAGCCGTAAGATCTCTGTCAAAAGTTTGACATGTAATAAAATGCTGTCTCCACTATTTGAAGCATTGAACTTTTAGAAAAAATGATAATTATAAAAGAGTTAGGTTTATAAAATCGTTCGACCTGTTTTTCTTGGTCATAAGGAATGTTTAACGCATAATTTCTAATATTCTAATATACAATTTTAACATTCTTTGATTGGACTGTACGTGATTTGCGACTGTCTACATTCTCTACAAATCCTATAATTCTGTCTAGCAATTATTTAATTCCAACGATACGGATTAAGTAATAAAAGTGAGATAACAAATGCAGGGTATCACCATTCAAATGACAATGAGTAAATCAATCCTATTGATTATTGGAGTGTAAAATCTTAGTATTCTTTACATTAACAGATTAGATCGATCAGCAATGTTACGTAGAATCCCTTAGTGGTACTCACTTTTAAGCTCTTTACCATCGGCCGTGCAGCTCCCCTGTTCAAGTAGACAGTTTACATAGTTGTTCAGCAGACGGTCGCTCTTCAGGATCTGATCCAAGTCGATGTTGTCGTATTTGGTAGTGTACTTATCGTCTGCCAGGGCGCAGACCACCAAGACGAGGAAAACAACCGCGACCTAGATCCGGGACGGAAAAGCGGAAGTCTTTTATAAAGTGGTACACTATATTCCGGGGGAGATAAAACGCAAAGCGCAACGCGATACCGTAACCCTTCGACCCTCCCGCATTTACCGTTCTCGTTTTTCCTTCAGCCTCGTTCTCTCGCGATCGAAGTTACAATCAAGTAATAACAGAAACTCGTGCACTCGAAGAACGTTTATCGCGGCGATGGATATCGCCAACTTTTCGGATATATCAGCTCGGTCAATAACGTTTTTCTATTCGTTGGCTCATCGTCAGATTAGGAGGCATTCGCGAAACAAGTTTTTGGACTATTTCCATTTTGTTGAAATGAAAGCATAGCATACGCTCGGTCTCGTAATTTTAAAACCAATCAACGATTTCCGATTCGAAACGAATTTTGTTTTACATCAAACCAATATGCAATTTAGCATTGGGTAGATACGTGTACTCGAATATAAATACAGCAACAGAACGTTGACGTCATAATCATCCTTAAAAAGGACGGGGACCGTTCGAACAAGTTTATACCTCGACGACGTTTAAATCAAGAATTGTATCGCGGAATTTCTCGAGTTTTTTTCGCGTCAGTTTGTTGGGAAAAAGCGTCGCGTGACTAATGCCTGCGGAATGCTGTAAAGTCACGCGACTCCGCGGGGTTCGGACGGTTTCTAAATATGTTAAAGGCTCGAGGATCGAGGAAGTAGTTCTTCTGGTAACCTTTGGAATTAAAAGCGCTCGCGGCGATTGTTATCGGGACACGGTACAAGCTCCCTTTTAACTTCGCTGAATCGAAAGCGATATCGTAAGTTTTAAAGAAAAGAATTTAGATGGTCGTAGTTCCGTAAGAAATTGTACGGAATCAAGTAAGCAATTTCTGAAAGCGTTTCGAGCCGCGGTGAAACCGCGCGGGGGAGGATGGGAGAGCCGCTGGTAGAAGCCGATCGGGACCGACTCAACGACACGCGAGGAAGTCGCGGGGAACCTGCGTCGACTGTGTATATGTATACTAAGAAATACGAATAACGATGAATTGTCGGCGTGCTGGCCTAGAAAGAATAATTTAGCTCCAACCGAGATTGTCACTTGCAGCAGAGACCTCCTTTATTTCCTCGAAAAATTATATTCGACGCAGGAAAGAGTGAAAGGAGAGAGAGAGAGAGAGAGAGAGAGAGAGATGGAATCATGAAAACCAGTTCGACGTTTTGGAAAGTACGACTGTTCCACGGTGGAATGAAAGCGGTTAACCGATTGCAATCCATTTTAGAAAATAATACATTCGTTTAAAAAAAACGATGAACCAAACAAATAGAAATAATCAACTTTCGTAACTATTTTTTCTCAAACTCGTATACCAATTTAAAAATTCCATTTGGTCGAGTAATTTAAATTGTACGTCGTTTTAGGAATTTCTAAACTTTTCGCTAAAGAAAATATGCGTTTGTACCAAATAATTCTTAAATAAAAATTAAAACTGAATGAAATATTGAGATTTAAAAAAATAGGAATAAATATTATTTTGAAGAGAATCATTTTTGTAAATTATGACCACTTGAGAAAATATAGGATGATGTTTTGGGGGATCGTAAAATATCCCAGCTAGGGACTAGTCCTCATTTAGTCTGCACGGTTAGACGAGCCGACAAACCAGGGAGGATAAATCGGAGGGGTGGTTCGAGTTAGCAAGTAACAGAATAATAGAACATCGTGAATCTGATTGCGGACAGTTAATAGAGCCCTTTAGTAACGCGATCTCACGTTAAGTGGTTCTCTGAACTGATAGTCCCATCGCTTTGCTCCAAGTTCAGTTAGTATCGAAATTTAATATTCCATTGATCTAACCGAGATCCGGTCTGCATCTAACCTTCTCACTTTAATCCGCAACTTAACGGAAATTTAGCTGGCCAACGCGATGCTCGTAACGAAGGTTCAACCGTCGTGTACCTAAGGCGGCGAACATGCGGAAACCTAGACTTAGGAGACACGACAGAGCTGCTTAGTTCGTGTCCCGATACGCTGCGCACTTAATCCACTACGCGTAGGCCGGATTACCGAACGGCAATTCATGGTTAAAACCGATTCCACGCAACGCGACGCGATAAGGCATCCCGTTTTCTACGCTCCAGATGCACGAATAATGCGACTATCGGTTTGCTCGGACCACCACCGTGCCGCTGGACTATTAAACAGGACAACAAGTTGTCCTTGCTCGTTCCGAATCATGAATCTCCTATAAATCTTGCGATTCGTATGCCTACGCACGCGGGATAACGACTCATGAACGGTGTACACGATAATTCATTCCGATTTTTTGCGAATTAACAGCCAGGCTATCGATAATGATTAGTGTTCGTACGCAAGAAATTAATGTACTATTCAGAATTTCATTATTCAGCAATACAAACTCGGTATGGAGAAATACTTCAATAGAGAACAAAATTCAACAGGGAACAAAATATCTTAAACTCTTCTATTACTTGCAAAATGTACAAACAAGAATAGTTTGCAGTTTAGATAACGAAGATCAAAGTCCTGCGCAACAGCTAGAACTCGTTCTTTCGTAACCGTTCCCCGCGAGATCGTCCTTCTTCATGTTCGTCGAGTCGAGCGTCTGGTAAGAATTTGTCCGTTTCAACCACCGAACCGATTCGTCTCGTCCCGAATAAGCAGATTTCCAAAAGTAAAAGAGAACCGTCTGTGTTAGTTACTCAATTGCATTTCACTCTTTTTCCTCATTTCCCAAACGAGTTCAGTTATACAACTAAATTTTTTTAATCGTATCCCTTTTCTCTTTGTAGCCCGTCAATTATTTTATCTTTACATGCCGAAAAATTTCAATTCGGAATCGGAACTGACTTTCCCTTTCAACGATAAATCTTGTTGTTCAATAAAAATTACTGTCGATCGCAAATGCTCACCTTGGTCTTTTAGACTCTTTTAAAGGAACGCAACTCGGCAATTACAGAATTGGTGTCAACGCAGCTGCACGTACGACGTACGCGTGCATACATACGTCGGTAAATGCGTAAATCCCATGACGCAATCGCGGGGAATGCCTCCTAACGCCTTTCACTCTCTCGCAAATAAATTTCACCTCAGCCCCGGACACTCTTTTTTCATTTTTTTTTCTCTTTTGCAAAAATACTCTCACGCGGGCTGGCGTGCGCCCCATCGTCCCGCGAGTGTGAAAAATGTTACCTCGCACGTGTCCCACAATTACTAATTCAAAGGAAACAACTTTTTCAAACATCACGAGGATGCCGAGTTTCTTACGCGATACACTATGCAATAATTTTAGATTAATAGTCGTACGTATTACCGGCAAAGTCCAACGTCTCTGCGAAGGAAAAAAACGCACATTCCTATTCATATATCTTAACGAAAGACGTTTTTATAAAAAAAAAAACTGCATACTAAACTTGTCAATCACGTTACATCATTCGATCATCGTATGACGACAGCATTTAATATGAAAATCATTTCTTCAAATTGGTAATAAATGTAATATGAGCATATACTAATTTGAAATTAAAGTGGAAATACAAGTCGCTTAATAATCACGACCGAATTAACCGACAATTTTTGAATCGTCACACAATTAACTCCAACACTGATTAAACTGGCAACGCGCCGATATTTAGCGAGACGCGTTATCCGCGTTAATTTTCGACAATTAACGAACTCGGCAATGGTGTCCTCTAATTAGGCGCGGATCAAAAGCGCGTTAATCAAGAATCGAACGGACAATTGGAATGCAGCAACACCGAAATGGCAGTCGGGCGACTGCTCGAATCCAGTTTCTTATCACGCGCGTTCGTCGCACGGCCAGGCACCGGCAAAACTCGGAACATGTTCTTGCATACAATACGCGCGACTAGCATCCCGAATTTTTCGTATTCCTTCTCGCGCCACTGAGAAAACACTGCCGGAACGCGCGTGAAATTCATTTACGATTGCGTTCGCTCGCGATGTAAGTATCTCGTGCAGTCCTAAATCTGAATCGAAAACAGGTAGTTCTTAAAAATGCGACTATCGTGTTTTACATTCTCTTCGGCATGTCATTGAAGAGAATTATTTTAAGAACTGCATATGCTATACCAAATAATTCTGAAAATCAATAGGAATATCTAGGCTGTGGTTCATGCAAATTCCTCTTTTTATAAACGAAATTAAAGAATCAAAGTGTATATAAACATTTGGTTTCTCTAAATATTATAAATTTTATTTTACTTCGGATATTTTGTATTTAGTTACATATTACTGCATGTTATGTCTCTTTAAATTGTTGAAAATTCAGTAATACGTAATGAAACGCTGACTCGAGGAAAGCGAATGTTTTTGTCACACAAAATCCACAAGGTAACAACTGATGTGTCAATGTTTGTACAAACCTGAAGAACCGACTTAACACATGAGCTCGAGTGAGAACTTGGCGACGTTAGTAACCGTAGAGCAGTCGTTGAAATAAAATCTTGTCTGGTTTCAAAAAAAGACTGCCTGACTCGATTAAGGATGTATAGGCTATACATATACTTAAACAATGCTGGCATGTTGAATTTGTTATTACAGATTCCTATTACTATTAAAAATCTAAAATTATAGTGATTTCAAATTTTTTATAGGTAATAGTATCACCTACAACTTATANCCATTTCGACGGTGGATCGGTCGGATTTTGTCAACATCAATAAAATGCCAAATAATCATACTTAACTCATTAAATATCGAAATTAGAAGAAAAGTGCACTATTTTTAATGATAGGAAATGCGTTTTTCTAAGGTACATAAACTTTTGGTGTTGACTATATAGCCAATACATCCTTAATTCAGTTTGAATATCCGATATACACGCATGGAAACGAGCAGTTATTACGTTATCGATTTTGTTAGAATCAATTTATGGACTTAATAATTTAGCTCGTCAGCAAACATCTGTCGCTGGAAAAGTTCACTAAAAACTGCTCGACAACTACTAGTTATAGATAGTTTACAGTGACTCGAACGCGCAGAGAAGTTAATTTGATTAACCCTCGATCATTTTAAATACTCTAGGCTGGAGTTTAACGATTTTTATCTAGAAAGAAGGGAAGAGGAGAAAATTGTTCGTGAATGTTGTTGAATGTGAATTCGTTGTACAATTCAAAGTTACTTGATAAATCAATAAATTTGAGGACGAAATGACGACGCGCTGTTGGTTAAAAAGGTTTCACGAGTACGTTTTATTCTCCTTAAGTAGAATTTGCACGGCTCGCTTTGAATTACAATCACCTTAATCGGCGCGGTGTCTCCAATCCAAACCAGAGCACGTGGATAGTGCACGTTACGTTGATGTAAAAATGTTCACACGTGTTCGCCTCGCTTTCAATTTCACTGAACGATACATCCTTTGAATCTGGACGTTCAATAGAATCGACCGATCCGCATTGTTTACTTGACTCTCTCAGTTTTTTTTACGTCGAACGCATTGTTCGACCAAATTGAACCGTGTAAATTCGGTTTTACGTGCCGTGCGACGCGTCTAGCTGAATTTTGCGGGGTGAAACGAACTTGAGGAAAGGTTCACAGGCGGCGGAGCTCGGCGCGGCGGCGGCGGGACGTGTCCCGAATTTAAGCAGGCGTGTTTTCACAAATTAGATGTAGCCAGCCTCCGTGTCGTGTACTTCAGGAAGCGATCTTCGATGCGTCGCGCCCGGTAATCTTCCTCCGCCCGCATTAGTAACTCGAGCGGACGCGCTGCGTGGAAACTTAATGAGCCGCGAAAGACGTTGAACCTCTTCTTGTAATTATACGTAGCGTTAAATAGTTTCGCGCGGTGTTAATCGGGCACGACCGTGATCGCTAGCGACGTTCGAGTTATATACGAGCTCTCGTTTCTGGGTACTCCGCCAAGCGTTTTTCCCATCTGCGACTTCGTTCGCCGGACGTTGGAAAATCGTTCGCGTACGTGAAACTGGGTAACGCTCTTACGTAGAGAAATTACGCAACGACGAGGGTGTACCGACTTGTTAAAGAAAAATGCCCACTAGACTCGCGGACGCGGAAGTGCATTAAATTTACATTTGAATTAAAAGACACAAGGCGGCAAACGCTCTTTCGCAAAGGTTAATCAAGTCCCAGAGGGGATGAAAAAAAGCTATAGAACAAAGTGTACCCGGCCCGGACGACGGGTAAAAAACAAGAAGGATAATGGGAAACTAACGAAGAAGGAGAGAGCAGAAAGGTGAAAGGAAAAAGTAGCGCTCACCTTCATGTTGGCAGCTTGTGTGTCTGACAGGAGAACGAAGTTAAGCGTGACTGATGCCGGCTTCGCCGCCGATCAACGGTTTTATACCCGGCCATTTGCCCAGCCTCCCGAATTCGCCGATTCGGCTTCGTTCCTCTTTCTCGCGGCGCTTTTGCGCGCGTCTGCTCGCCGGGAGGATGGTGGAAATCGGCAATGGAAGGGAAAACTGAACGGAGGTAAACGCGGTCCGCGGTCTTCCGAGAATCACGACGACACGTGCCGGGTTGACGCCGAGGTTGCGAAGTGTCAAACTTTTTCTTTACGAAATATCAATGCTGCTTCTTACGTGAACGGAAATGTCATTCATCATCGTACTTGGGAAAGCTAAGCTAGCGACAAAATCAAGATTTTCACTCTACTCCTCCCGGATGCAGCATTTAACTAATGTGAATATTTAAACTAAACACCTTTTTTTTTTACGATGCACACCGTCGACGTCGACGTAACGATGAACGCGGGCTGTTCTCTTCTTTTCTAAAGCATGCATTATGCAATGTATGGGCAAACGTTGCGTCGGTGCTAATTTTTAACTTAATGAGTAAAATTGTATTACATCGAGAAATAAGACTTCGGGATTCTCGTTACGACACAATGGGAAAAGTAGATCGCTCAGAGTGTGTGGAACGAGATCCGTCACGTTTATGTATCGCATTACATGTATGTACATCATATACATTATCGTTACTTCATAGAGAAGGTAACGCAATACGAATTGTTACATAATTTTATTTTACATGAAGACAATGTATAATGTGTTCAGAGAATAATAATGGAATAGGAAATTCGACGATCAGACCAGATGATGCATTTATTATAATCTCCCAGCAGTTACGTCGCGATTAATTATGGTATACCTTCATTCTCTACGAACGTGCACGATGTATGTATTTTTCACATTAAATAAATGAAAAATCTGTTGGTAAATGGACTGGCATCGTTATGACAAATTAATCATCCACGTTATCGTGATTCTCACTTGACAGTGAAAAACTCAAATATTAACAAGTTGTTACTCGTGAACTGTCTGTCGAAGGTATTAAGTTTTCAGGATTAATGTTTCCCTGGCTAAATTTATTACGAAGTATCGCAACTCTCTCTTCCGTTTATTTCAAGTTCGTGTAACAAGGCTGCCATGGGGAGCGTACAGCCTTCGTGAAACTTCCTGCGTATACACGTTCATTTAATTACGCGTAATAGGATTCTTACGGAGGTGACATTAACTTTTCATAGCTACGCGAGAAGAGGGCCTTCAAACTTGGTTTCTCTAAATATTACACTGTCGACTAATAAGTCAATTACACGGTAGACTATAAAATGATCCCACCGATCGTATCAGCCAGTGACAAAATTAATGCCGCGTCAAAGACAAAAGGCGTATATTATAGAATGCTTTTTTCATGGAGCATTAAAGTACATTAGAAGTATTCCATTTTCTGTGTAACGCGTAACGATCTATTGCTTTGTGTCTCAAATGAAAATGCAAATGCATTAGTCACGGAAATGTCTGAATCATTAAAGGAAGTGAAGATAATGTGCCGTATTTATAATAAATTAAAAGGTTTTCGAATGGTCGCACAGGAAATGCTAAGACCGAACAGTTTTGGAATTTGCATTTACAGTAGATTTTTCTTAGAATCACAGTTATTGATGATTGTACAATTATTTATGCATGAAACGAGGAATTGTTAAGAGGACAGCTAAGTTGTATTAGGTGAATGAATAATCTCGTTTAACACTAGAAAGACTGAAACTTAGTATATACCTATATTGCCCAAAGCAGTCAAAATGACTGCATTGTGA